CTCACTGTTCGACTCTGCCCATAAGAGACCACAGTGCCGCGAGCCTGGAAGATGGAGTAGGAACTTCCTCCTCCTATGTGCTTCCTATCCGCTTGCAGTTCTGTGACTTACTCCAACACTTCTTTACTCCAGTAGCAGTAGCTGAGCCCAGAAGATAGTTTTTCTAAAACAAAAGGAACCAGGTTGGTCAGATCTCCCTCAGAGACCACAGCACCAGTAGACATTCTGGTTTCTCTAAGTTTCTCAGTTGTACTAATTCTAATGCCTTTATTTTTGTTCCCTCAGCCATAGAGGTGGTAGCTGCTTCCTCTGTGACACCACAGAATTCTTTTTACCCTTTCGATTAGTTAACAATTTCCTATGGGTTAATACTTACGTTAAATTCTCTGTTCAGGTAATTGGTGTGATTTCTGCCTTCTGGTTGGACTTGACTGAGAGCGTTGTCAGGAAGAGACACAGAGAGCCAAAGGCAGGGTCCTGATGAACTACTCCATGCTTCCCTACACCTAAGCTGTCTATTGCAGCAGAAAATACCTTTGCTCAACCTCCAAAGGAACATAGAGGCATCTGGCTGGAAGAGGCCTGATCATCTACATTTTTCCAGGGCCTCCTTTCACAGCAGAAGGCCTCTTTCAAGCAAGAAGCATTCACAGGTCTAGCGTGTCACCATCTACTCCCAAAATCATGGGGCCAGAGGAAGAAGCATCAAAAGTGATGGGTAGAGGTGAGGAATATATTCCAAGAGAGGAAAATTCAAAGGCCAGGATTCTCAAGAGACTAAATCCAAAGAGAAGATGTGAAGTCAGAGTCTGATATTTTAATCCCTTTTACCTTCTCTCCAAAAGCTTGACTCTTGACAACATGCCCAATAACATTCTGATACTTAGCTCATCCCTGTTTGTACTCTTTTTCGAGGATGGATGTTAAGTAGTGTCTACTTTGGGGTACAAGTGATTGGTGAGGAACAAATGTGGTGAACGCCAGAGCTAGAGAAGCTGGGTAATCTTTAGGAGTAATTCCATGAAGCTGAATAATCCCCATTCTCCACATCACAAATCTTGTGTCTATCAAACTGGGGATGATGGTCTAAACTCATGATGCCTTCACTTCTAAATAGCATAGAAAGAATATACAAATCTTTCTCTTATAAAAACTTTCATTTTTCTAGATTTTGAGTTCCATCAACATCATTAAGTTGCTTTATTACAACGTATTTTTTAATAGTACAACCCCAAATTTTCCTTCTAAAAATACTGCTTAAAAACTATTAACATTTTATTTTTGCTGCCTTTTGAAGCATATAGAGAATCACTTAATAATGAGAGCTATCATTTTTTGAGCTATGAGCCAGGCATATTAGCTCAGAAAACTTCAAGCAACAGTGTGTTAACAAAAGAGAAATTTATTTCTCTTTCGTGTAATCAGACCAAGGCTAGGAAGGCAGTTCCACATTCAGTAGGTACCCAAAGCCCCACCTGTTGTGTTGATCTGCTGGCTTCTGTGTGGTCACATGTGGCTTGGGCCTTGTGATCCACGATGTTCAAGGTCCAGCCATCTCATTTGAATTCTAGCAAGCAAGCAAAGACATGCTCTCTACTGTTAAGGACACTTAGAAGTTCAACATATCACTCTGCTTACACCCCATTGACCAGAATTAGTCACGAAGTCACACCAAGCTGCAAGGGAGGCTGGGAATGTAGTCTTTATTCTGGACTTTGTAAGAGTTAGCATTGACTCAGAAGTTGATATAAAAGTCATATGATATAAAAGATGCTCTAAGGAGAAATTTTCTTTAAAATTTTCCTTTCAAATTTTGAAACAAATCCAGTACAGAACAAAGTGGGATTTAAGGACAGTTTGGATTTAACTAAGATTTGTGAAACATTAAGGAAAATAGAGGAGCCATTTAATAACACCAATTTTTGAGAGAGAAGATACAAAGCTTTATATTGATTTAGAATCATGTTTAAAAAATGCATAAGCAATTAATAATTCTAGTTAATGACCACATTAACGTAAAATTGTATTATACAACTCAACTTTCAATAATTATAAATTATGCTTAGATAAAAATGTTTTATTTATTTCCATAAGTAATACTAACAAAATAAATTGATAATTAAAAACAATCTATAGAATATATTTTACTTGAAATGTAAATATACAAAAATTCAAAGCTAAATAAATATGTGTAATTACGGGATCCTAAATCATTTCATTAGTGAAAAAGCTACAGGTAGAATGAGGGACAAAAAAGACAATGAGATGGAAAAAAATGCTGGTCTAGAGGTCAAGAGACAAAGTTTTATCACTTAAATTACTGAACCTGTCTGTACCTCAGTTTCTCAATTTCTTTATGAAATGAGAAGTTTGAGCTGTATAGATATAAGGCCTAGTTGATAAACCCTATTACTCCACATTGACTAAAGGGCAAAGCTTATATATGGAATTTTTTAAGGGAACTTGTCAAGGAAAAGTAAGTCTAAGGAAGCAAGATAGTTTGAAACCAGGAAGTCTGATTCACCTTAGACTAAAAATTGTCAATACAAATATACTCCAACCTCCAAAATTGTTTGTTCTTGTGCTTGGCTTTGTGTGTGTGTAAGGCTAGCACTTCCTGAGGTTTCATGGTAATGAATAGCAATATGTCTAGGTCCGCCATAATGGATGGTGATGGGTCAAGATAATCACTGCAATTTTCTTGTTTTCTCAGCCTTCCTTGCAGGTATGCGCGGCAAAATCAATGTATATGGCCACGAAACCCTCTTTCCAGAAGTATCTCCAGGGACTACTTTTCAGGACAGTATGATTGGTACTGCTGACCTAGGCTAACTTGATTACAAACATTAGATAGATGAATGCATTTCCTGACCAATCAAACCAAAATGTATTCATCTTTTGGGCATTTCTCCCATAAAACATTTACACTGGTTTCTCTCATTAAATAATAACCTATGCGTCCATTTGTGTACTTGATCATACCTTGACCCTGTATTTAGAAAGGATTTTAAATGAAGAAAAAATCAATTGGCCAAGGAGGAACAATGTCTATTAAACTCCTTGTCTATATTTGAAGCCTAGAGAATTTGAGAATTTCTATTTTCTGAGTATATAAAATAAAATGTTCATGTTAAACAACTGTTCAGATATAACTGTTCTTTTTTTTTTTCCCCCTGAAATCCAAAGTAAATCTCAGTTCTATGTGCCCAAATCACTTGTGGTGCTTTAAAAAGAAAAGTCCAAGTCCCTTCCATCCATTCCACACCCCTTCAGATTTAATAAGTCTGGAGGTGGCTCAGACATCTGTAGTTTTCAAAGCCCCATAGGTGATTGTGACAGGCAGCCAAGGCTGAAATAGGGAGCTTTATAAGTTATAGAAGCTGTGACCCTTCAAGATGCTTAGGTGAGTAAGGCCATATGGTATGGGGGAAATAACACTGTAACAGGTACACAACTCAAGCAGCTACGTAACTTGAGGCAGGCCACTTAAACCTCTTTGAGCCTTAACATGTTATTTTATTCATTAAGAGGATAACATTTGCTGCAGATATAAATATCTCTTAGAAAATGTTTAGGAGTTTCAAAACTTTTAACATAGAATTTAATGTTCTTTTATTTTTTCTTCTTCATGGAGTGCCTTTTCCCTTTCTTACATGCAGGAAAAATCTACTGTTCCTCCTATTCACTACCAAGTTTAAATCTCTGAGGCCTCCCCTGACCCAACTGCACAAGATTGCTGTCTCTGTGCTTCTGCAGCGCTTTCTACATCACCTGGACACCTGACTCTTTTAATTGACAAGCCCTTCACCCCCACTGGTACAGTGTAATCTACAGAATCAGAGGAGCCTGTGTTTTTCAGTATCCCCTGTGCCTAGCAATGTTAGACAAGGTCAACCCAAATGGCTATCACCTTGTCACTGAAGGCCATTACACATACCAGTTACCTATTTCTTCCTTTTCAAGAGCTGAATCTTTTTTCTTCCCTCTACTTTATTTGTGGAACTTCAACATAAAAAAGATGAGGGGAGGGCTGCTGGGATCTGCCCTAGTAATCACTACCCTGGTGATAATTTGTTGTTAGTACTTATAGGTGGTAGGCACCTGGCCACCCCTCGAGAGACATTATTTAATTCTCTCATCCATCTTTACACACACACACACACACGCACGCACGCACGCATATATACACATATATACATATATATACACATATATAATAATAATAATTTTTATTCCTGTTGTACAACTATAGGTTCAGAAGACTAGGTCACAGGTCAGGATGTGGGGCCAATACTCAAATGCACTCACTCCAGATCTCACTCCAGAGCTCAAAATCTCAACCACTCTCCGCGCCTTCTTCCTCGTGAGATATTCACGTGAGTCCCTTCCCTGGTGTGGACCAGGAACACGCAGCCTCGAGTGCATCGGTCCTCCCCTTTGACAGCGAATACAGTAAAGCTGTCATTGTGATCAGACTAGAGCGTGGAGGCACCGTCCCAAGAACCACTTCTTCTTGGCAATTCGGGGACCAACAAACATCCCGAAAGTAACTTTAAATTGCCCGCGAGCATTCCGCGGCCAGGCCCTGCCCATCGCATGGCAGCTCTCGAATCCGGCCAGAACACGCCTGGAAGCCTCTGAGAGCGGGAGGCGCGAGCCCGCCTTCCGCCTCCGATCTTTTCTCCCGGAACACCGAGCTCCTCGCGTTTCCTGAAAGAACCACAGGTCTCCGACCTCCAGTCCGGCATTCTCAGGCGAGTCCCACTAGGAACACCTTTCAACCACACTCCTTTACTTCCGCGTCCCGCTCGCCGGAAATGACGGGTCGGAAGTGTCTTTCTCTGACGGGGGCGGGGAAGGAAGATGGCGGCGCCCAGCAGCCGGTGAGGAGAGAGGACACGGGGATCCCAGGGAGCGGTCAGACTCGTGCGTTATGGCCACATCCCCGCACACTCTCTCCTCACGCCTCCTTACAGGTACTGCATCGCTCTCGGGCATGACCTTCGGGAGAATTCTCTTCTTTTTGCCACATACTGCATCGTGGTTCCGGCTGGCTGCAACCTTGGGAGCCCTTGGCGAGGTCGGCTGGGCACCGGTGGAGGGGATGTGACCTTTGGAGTAACCTGATGTGAAGAGGCCACGGAACTAGGGTCTAGTCTTGCAGTGTGGTTCTGGTGGTACACGGCGGCTTCCGTCCCGCTACCCTGGAGCGGCGGTCGGTGTCTGGCGCTTTTTTTGGTTTTCACAGAGTGGAGGCTGGAGAGAGAGGACGGGGGAGAACCCTAGCGCCACGAGTCTTTTGGCTTAGCAGAGCCTCAGTTCCTAGCCACTGGCTTGTGGGGACAGCAGAAGCGCTGTGCGTCCACTCAGAAGCCTCCTTCCCATGTGAAAGGGTCATGGTGATAACGACGGTAATGAAAATGATGATGACAGCTACAGAGAGCAGGCCGTAGCTTCCGACTTAGTTTTTTACCCTTCAGCGTGGTCCCTTTGTAATCTTCCCACTTGAAAAGCCTGTAACAACTTTATGTTAAAGGTGGAATGTGCTTCCTTGGCCCTTGGCAAGGACTTAGCTCAAATGTCACCTTTTCAGAGCCACCCACCCTGCCTGCCCTATCTACAGTAGAGCTCCTGCCCCACAGGCAGTAATTTTTTATTTACATACGGGTTTATTATGTTTCTCCCAACGGGAATATAAACATCGTGACTGTAGGGACAGTTCTCTGGGTCCCCTCGGTGACCGCGGTGTGCGGAACAGTACCTGGTGTACATTGTTGGATCTCAGTAATTATTTGTGAATGAATGATATTTGTCCTGATGGAGTTCTTAAAGAGGACGTTGAGAATTATTTTGCCTCCAGTAGTTCAGGATGATAATTAATGTGAGGAATGTGTTGCTGCTGGCCCATATTGGGGGTGGATAGGAGAATCCAGGGACTCCTTTTTGGTCAAATCCCAGAAGCTTTTCCCAGGTCCCCTGCATCACAAGCTCTTTGAAGCACTTGGCAGTATTGATGGCTGTGAATGTATGAGATTCCTTTTTTCTTTTTCTTCATGGCATTATTTTACGAATCTTTTCTGCTCTATGGGGTCTCAGGGCAAATCATTGGACATTTCTGGAGTTGGATTTACTCACCTTTAAAGTGAGGCAATTGAATTGGAGGATTTCACAGCTTCCTTGAGGTTCAAAAGTGGGAACAAGGGCGGGAAGTGGGAGGGAGTGCGGATGAAACAAGGTTGGCCTTGATTAGGTAGGTGTTGAAGCTGGGGGTAAAGTAACGAGACTTGGTGTATTCTTCTGCTTTTGTCTATGACTGACATTTTCCAGGATGAATTTTCTTTTTAGGTCTGTGATTACTTTAAAATTACTTGCTACCACCTACCATCCCTGACTGTGAGCGTTCTTTGATCCTGACCCTAGACACTCATTCTCAGAGAACTCGGCCTTTCCTAGTGCTTGACTTACCACCTCTGTGTGGAGGGCTTTCCAGTTTGGGTTCCTCACACTAGCTGTGTTTCTGCCTTTCTGTTCTGAACTCTCAGCTTTCTGTGGTTGAACTCTCAGCCACTCGGCTGCTCAGAATCCCCCAGCTCCATTCCGTGGGCTGCGTATACATATGGTCCACATGGTTTGTTGCTGGATCAATCTTTTCACACCTGGTAAGAAGGAATCAATAGACAGCTTAGCTTTTTGAAGCTGTGAACGTAATCGCCAAAAAATCTGCTGGTAAGTGGTCTGTGTGACTGACTTTGATCCACTTGGAAGATGCACTACCAGAGCTAGATGTGGAAGCAGTGTGGTAACAGGTGGCAGAGAGGTAATCTGGGACTTTATTAGGTATCTAATGGCCGTGTCTGAGTTTGCTTCTTAAAATTCAAAGTATTTCATAGCCATTGAAAGAAAATTCAGGACCTTCACCCCGCTCTAAAAGCCCTGCATTCATGACTCGTTGTTGATTGTGAAGGGCGGGTATGGTCACGTGTTCCCAGATTGGTAATGTAACTATTGTAAATCCTGTGCAGTTTCAAACCTAAATTTGTTTACATAGGGCTGAAATGGCTTTGGATTTCTAGGCACCAAGTCATACAAATGTAACGTGTTTTGACTAAATGTAAAGTGTTTTCATCATTTAAAAGTGAAGTTTTCTAACTGTGTTTTTTCTCTTTCTTACCACCATTCTGTAAAATCTCAGTTTCACCCACTTAGTCATGAGAGATGTTTTTCCAGGTGGTTCTTTCCCTTCCAGCAACATGCATTTTTCATTGTACCTGAAAAACTGAAAAACGGTTTTAAAATTATGGCCCAGAACAACAAAAACCTTGATGTCTTCTAGACATGATTATTTAATATTGAAATCCTGTTATCTTAGAGAACAGTGTTAAGACTGAAAAGGGAAAAATATATATCATCAAAATTATAAATAAAACTGAAATATCAGGAGACTGATTTTAAGAAATTTCAAAAAGCACTGACATTCCTTTAGTTAGATATATACATGTAAACAGCCATTCACATCTGTGGACAACCAAGCATTTCGTAATTAACTGCGGTTTGAGAATCTGATCGCAGTGAAGGAGCCATTTATCTCCAGTCCAGGGTAACTGCCACGAATTCCAAAGGGCATCGACAGTTCTTCCCTCCGTTCAGTAAGCTATGGAGGTGGACCAGTCATCAAAGGTTATTTCAGTATTATACAGAAAGCAGTCTGCTGTCTGTTTAGCAAGAATGAGTGAGGCCCTGCCACCAAGGAACTAAAAAATGTGATGGAAACAAATGGAAACAGTTTGCATTAAGAAGTGCCATTAAAAAAAGTATCCAGTAATAAGGTAGTGGAAAGAGACTTGGAAAATGTGACAGGTAAGGCAAGAGGCTGCGAGCAGGGGGACAAGTGACGTGTGTGATGATGAGACAGCCTTGCTGCAGTGAGTTATAGGTACATGTTTGGGTGGGTAATATAGGTACTTTGGGCTTGAGGAAGAAAACCATTAGCTTTATGGAGCTTACATTAGACAGGGAAGGAAATTACTGAAGTTGGAATGACTGGCTTGAATCCTGCAATTACTACCATAGTCCAAATCTAAGATAATGTGAGCCTGGGTAATAGGAATGGAAAGAAGTAGACAAATTTGACCTATCTTTCATAATTGACTGGACTTGAGAGTTATTAAATGATGCAGGAAGAACTCAAGATGTTCCTGAAGTGATGGTTTTACCTGCAGTAGGGATAGTAGAAAGATGGGTGAGAAAAAAGTGTTCTTAAAGACATACAGCAACCCACCCAGGTGGGTATACTAAGAGAGAAGTTGGAAATACGTATAATAACTCTAGAAATGTGTTGAAGATTAAAAATTATTCAATAATTGCATTTGCTCAGGGATTATATATAGGGTTCAAACAGTAGGAACACAACTGCAAGAGCAGACAGCAAAGGAGAGTGAGAAGTGATGGGCGGATGGCAGCAGGGGGCCGGGAACCTTTGGTGGCACAGAAGCCACGAGAGGAGAGACTCACAAAAGGAGAGTCTGCACCGTTTTACTGTCGAAGGCGTGGCTGGGATGGTACCTTGTACAGAAGCACTGGATTTGTGGATGTTGGAGAGAAGGTTTAGAGGAATGATTAAAAGCCAAATTCCTATACAACAAAAATAGTTTCTTTCTAACGAGATGTATAATCTCATACTTTACTGAGAACTATTTTCTTACCCCTTTAGTTGGCTTACCCGGCATGGCCAAAATATGAATCTGAAAGATATCTTTCAGTTTGCAGTTATTTATTGAATAAAATCATGCTTCTCATTTTATACTTTTTAAAAAGCGATCGAACTGATTGCTTTATATTTTCTTCTTAAAACTACCTATAGTATGGTCACTTTGGCACGTAATAAAACAAAAGCATAATGATCCTGAAATGGAAGATTTTCATAGCCCTGTTGAAGAATTTTGCTGACTTAATCAGGGAGAAAGGCTGATAAATTATATCAATTTACAAACCTGGATTAGATCATTTCAGATTTACAACCCGTCACATATGGGTCGCTTACTATTGTTTGGGCATTGGTTGTGGATAGGTGCCGTATTTGTTTGATGAGAAGCATTCATCACTAACATTTTCCCCCCTTCTGTCTCTTTTTATAGGTTGGGTAGGAGGATGTGTCTGGTATCTAGAAAGAAGATCAGTGCAGGAATCCCCTCATAAGTTTATGCATCTTTTTAGGAACGTCAATAAGCAGTGGATCACATTTCAGCACTTCACCTTCCTCAAACGCATGGTACGTTCAGAAGCTGCTGTCTGCCTTTACTTTCTCTGTATGTGGGAATTTCAGAAATTCATACTGTAAGAAGAGTAGTAAAAAGTACTGTTTGGAAAGGACTTTTATTTAGTGTCCTCTTCAGTTTATTTGGAACTTTAATCCTTTGTTTTGCCTGTTCTTGACTGAAACCAGAATAATTCTGGGGTTCGAACTTAGAAGTATGACCTCAAACTTACTGATTAAGTTTGGTGAAAGATTGGAAATTTCTGGCATATTTTGACTATGCTAAAATTAGGGAAAGCTAAACTATTATAATACATCTTCTTAAATTTTTAAAATTGTGTGAATACATTAGTAATACAGAAATAATTGCTTTAATATTGTTACCCTCCTGTTTTCTTACATTAGCTGTGCATTCAAAAAGTCCTTTAAACACATATGCATCTGACTCAAACAAATTGAGTTTTTAGTAATTTGCTAGGCATTTTGCAGTGATCACTGACATTATACTTCAGTCGTCTTGTGGGCTTGTGCCTCAGTCAGCTCCATGACATGTGGGCAACATGGTGATTTACTCTAAATTACCAGTGAGGGCATTTGACATTTTCTGAAATAGAAAAGCATCACAGAATAGAGAAATGATAGCTGAAAATTCTTAACTATAATGCAAGCATGAAATGATAGCAAATTCATAATCTAATGTCGTAGGTGACATTTTTCTCATCTTTTTTTAACTTAAAATGCCCACTTTAACTTAAAACTTAAGGTCTTATAAAACTTACTGTTTTGATAAGAGATTTAAATTTCTGTTAATGTTCAGACTTTTTAAGTTGGGGGTTCAAGGGTAATAGATGTTTAAAAGAGAAACTCAAATACGTATTATGCCTTTTTTACGCAAACAGAACTCTGGATTCATTCATGAGGTTGTAATTCCTAAGACTAGTATGTGTAATGGAGAAATATCTTAACTAGTCATCAGGATGGGTGGCTCCAAGCCCCAGGGGCACCTGTAACTTACTGGTTGTTGACTGTTGGCTCTGTCAGTTTATTTCTCAGCTTTGATTTCCTCATCTGTAAATTAAAGAGCAATACTAACAATGATCCCTCTTTAACAACTGTTACAAAGCTTAAGTGAAATGTGTATTACAAAGTTACAGCAATACACACTGTGTAAAACTATGCAGTGCCTCGCTAATGCTAGTAGAAATTTTTGCAAGTGAGTGACAGAGACTGTCTAGCCCTAAAGCCCAGGTGCCTTGCTCACACACACCGCTGCGGTGCCGGTGCCACCTATACGTAGGTGACGCACGCCCCCCTCCGAGCCCTCTCCGCACCGTTTGCCTGGGAGCATGGGCAGTCAACACGGTATTTGGGCTCTTTTTGATTATAGAAAGCTTTTTTGTTGTATGTGAATGTTAAACGACCCGTTTCTGGTACTACATTAGGGGAGATTCTGGAGGAGATGAATAAGAAATAGATTTACCTTTTCTTTCAAGGAATTGAAATTCCTAGGACTTCTTAACCGCAGAATTTGAGAACTGTTGCGGAGGCATTAATTGTGTCTTAGTCTAGTCATTTCCGTGTAACGAGCACTCTGATACTAGTTCATGTACCATGTATTTATGAAGTTACAGGAAAATGTTTTAAGTACTGTAAAAGTGAGACTGATGGAAGGTGTAACTGAACGACCGTTTTGGGCTTTGTATAGTAACATGTCCTTTTAAAATTTAGTATGTCACGCAGCTGAACAGAAGCCTCAGCCAGCAAGTAAAGCCGAAGTCAGAACCAGTGGCGTCGCCTTTCCTTGAAAAAACGTCTTCGAGTCAAGCCAAAGCAGAAATATATGAGATGAAACCTTTTTCACCTTCTAGCCTGTCTTTGCTCAGAAAGCCAAATGAAAAAGAGTTGCTCACATTAGAATCTGCCACAGTAATTGAAGGCTCAGTAGATGTGGGAAAAGAGACTAAAGATGAAAAGCAGTGGAAGGAGATGAAGCTGCATGTGGATGAGTTGCCAGGAATTTTGGCTCGACTGTCCAAAATCAAACTCACAGGTACTTTGTTTTTCTGCTATAGATAGATTCTTCCTTGAAACTTTATTTTTAGTTAAACAAAAAGCTAATTTTATTTACTTCCCCTAAAGGAATAATTTTGAAACTGCAGATTCTTAGTATTTTTCCTCTCTTCCATTTAATTGGGATCCGAAATCAAATTTTCTGAATTCTGTTTACTCAGAATTGTAAATAGCATTGTACTAAACATATTGTACTAAAAATACGCTCCTTTATTTGCAATTAAAGTAGCATACTTCTCCTGCTTCTTTCTTGTCCTTGTGTTTTTACACCCGCTGTCCTTTAAAGATGCAGTAAGATAGCGAGTTCTGTGTGAGTTCTAAAAGGGGGACGGACTGCCCTGCTGTGCTGTGTGTGCCGCTCACGCCCACGCCCACGCCCACGCCGTGGCCACCCCCACTCCCAGCTCCCTGCTGTTTTGCTTCTGGCAGGACCTCTGGGACTATCCCAGGTAGGGAGGGATTTCCAGGGCTTCTCTGAAAGGAGGTTTAGGGCCAGATTTTTTACCTAATTGTCGCAAACCGCACCGAATTTTATTGCATGCATTTAGGCATTAACCCGTCATTATGTCGTTGGTTGTTACAGCCACCCTTTGTTGTTATCAGGCAAAGCTTTGTTATTAGTATCCCATGTGACAGCTGAACTTAGAAATAGCTTACTCTGGGGTAACTCTGTTTGGACCTCGTGTGTTCTGGGTCATCCTGCAACTGAAGGCCTGGTCGCTGCTTTTCCTCTTGGACGAGAAGAAGAAATGGGTGAATGATAAAGTTATACCAGGTACTCTTTGAGGGCAGAAGGTGGTAAATACTATTTGTGAGTCAAAATCAGCAAGTAAACAGATGAGACAGAGGCTTTTGATAGCAGGGAAAACCAAAGAAAGAGTGGTTTTTGTTTATTTGTGTGTTTGTTTTCAAGAGAGTAGAGCCTGAAGTCCAGGGTAAAAGGAGGTCAACAAGACATAACTTCTTTCCTCAGTGACCAAGTTCACGTAAAGGAAATCTTTTTTGGAGGGATGACACGTGGACAGAGGGCGTTTGACAGAGAGTCACATTGGAGTTACATGGTGCAACTCTGTAACAGACTAATTTCAGGTGATATTTTTGAAATTATCTTTTAGAGCTTGCTGGTAGCTGAGCAAGGAACCATCACATTTCTAAAGAAGTTGTCTTTTGTTATCATGTTTACATGTTAAGAGTGACTGTGGATAAGATGTGCTTTTAGGACATCACCCAGAGACAGGGCCTCGGTCTGTGGGCACGAGAAGCGAGCTCGGTCGTCAGCAGCAGCAGCTTCTTCCTCCGGGTGCAGCGTCATCGAGCGTGTCCCCTGGTGTCTCCTGCTCACTCCGCGGATTCGTTCTCCCTTATTGCCCCGTTTCTGTCGGCAGTCCTGGTATCCTTTGCTTCTCCTGGAGGTGAAACCTGAGAATCATTCTTTGCTCTCCATTCTCCCCTTCAGTCTAACACCCAGCTGTTACCAGGGGAGTCTTGTGTAATGGCTGTACGATTTCTCATCCCCACTTCTGAAGCTGTCATCCTCGCTCGGGTCCAAACCACGTGAGGTCTCTGGTTCTTGGAGCAGCTCCCACCCGTTCTCTCTGCCTTCCTTCTTGCACTGCAGTATGTGCTGCCCAGGGCTGCCAGGCTCGCTTTCCTAAAACATTGCTTTCTCTGTATTCCTAACCTACTCAGGAGCCTGCAGTTCCTCTGTGTTGCCTCCTGCCTCGACTCCGCCTGATTTTAGAGTAACACTGTAAAGGCCAGGGGTGTGCAACCTTTTGGCGTCTCTGGGCCACACTGGAAGAAGAAGGGTTGTCTTGGGCCACACGTAATCACAAAAAACATCTCACAATGTTTTAAGTAAATTTACGATTTTGTGTTGGGTCGCATTCGTAGCCATCCTGGGCCGCAGGTTGGATACCCCTGTGCAGAAATGATTAGACTCCTCCACAGAAGCATGTTTTTTCTCCTTCCCTGTTTCCTTCTTCTCCAACATACTCATTGCTCCGCGGGAGACCAGTCAGATCCCTTCAGGGCTTCTCCATTAGACCTTCTTTGGCCCGCTTTTGGCTCAAGTTTCCCTTCTCAAAACTCAGAATATGGCTTTGTGGCCAGGCAGACTGAGTTCTGATTCTGACTGTGACTTTACTGGCCAGTGAGGCTTTAGACAGTCCCTTGACCTTCTTAATTCCCTCATCTATAAAGTAAAAATAATAATCAATCATATAAGAATTCAGTCATATAACGCATTGAAAGTACCCAGCAGCATGACTGGTACATGGGAGACCTTGTAGTTTTCTAATAATTACAGGCAAACACTTCATTGCCTGTTTAACATATATTATATTTTCCTAAGAATTTGAGGGCAGAAATCATGCCGGATACTTCTAGAGTACTTCTAGGCGCCTGAGTACAGCGCTTCTCATGGTAGGGACTTGCTCTGAGAAGCAACTGATGGACTGAAGTCCTCCAGAGGAGGGCACCCACAAGGAAAAGGGACGTGGAAACCCCATCACTTGGGGAATGAGATTGTTTTGCTTAGAAAAGAGAAGAAGGGAGGGAGAAAGACAGTGAGGGAAAGGAGAAAGAAGACATAATAGCCTTCTTCAAACATTGGTTCAATGTTTGCAATGTTATTGCAAATAAATGGAGAATTGGTTCTCCATTGATTTAAGGAACAAGGCTGCTAATTCACTGCCCAGAAGGCAGAACTAGGGGACTGCACATGCTAACGGGGGGGTAGAGTCTCTCTCTCTCTCTCTGTGTGTGTGTGTGTGTGTGTGTGTGTGTGTGTGTCTCTGTCTCTCTCTTTCTCTGAAGGAGAGCTCTTAGGAGAACTATAGAACCTTGCCTTGTACGGCAGTGCTCCTTGTCACTGGACTCTCCAAGTGGAAAGAGATCATCTTTGAGGGAAGTTGAAGAAGGGATTCCTGCATTATGTAGTGGGTGGGACGAGGTGATGACGATTCAGTCCCTTCTTAATACTAAGAGACTGCTTGCCTTTACTGTTTGTTACTGGGTGTTTACCACGTACCCCGTGATGCTAGTTGCTGGAGGTACAGAGATAACTCACACATGATCTCTGTCCTTAGTAAGTTGTCTAATGGGGAGACTTTGGACACATACACATATATAAAAATAAAACAACCGTGGTCTGATACATCTGTGTTTTAAGCCCCCCAAAACACTTAATACTTGTTTGATCTTAGCATTCTGAACCTTAGAACCTGTCATGTTTTTTTTACCTGTAAGATAGAGGTAGTGGTACTTACTTCATAGCCTCATTGTGAAGATTAAATGAGATAATTTATGTAAAACATCTGTGTGCCCAGCACCTAGTAGGCACTTAATTAGCGTTTATTGATACTGTTATTACTGCTGTATCCATCATTAGGGAAACTAATGTTATAGGCATTCTGAGCAATGTGTGCATAAGGCAGATGGGGACCCAGGGAGGAGAGAGTTCTTTCTGCCTGTGGAGGGGGTTGCAGTGGATGAGTGTTTACGAGGCAGAAAAGGCAAGGATTGTAAGCAGAGGCCCCCTGGCATGATCAGAAAACTGAAGTCTGCCTGAATAATGCAGGGCGACTTGAGTGTTATGTAGGAAAGGCACTTACTGAGGTAAGAGTTAAATAGGGTCATTTTGTCATGTTGACATGTGTTGGGTTGGCCAAAAAGTCCGTTTAGTTGTTTTCCATAAAATAAAAGACACATTTTTCATTTTCATCAATAGCTTTATTGATTGGGATATTTTGAGTATGTCGGCTATCTCCCATGTGGCATAGCATTGATTGTTCTCAGTTAATGTCTCGATTTGATCGCTCTCACCTTCACCTGGCCTACCTGACCGTGGAGCATCATCCAGAGAGAAATCTTCAGCATGAAACTCTGCAAACCACTGTTGACACATTCAGTCAGTCATAGCACCTTCTCCAATACACCGCACAAAACTTTTTCTTTGTTTCAGTGCATTTTTACCTTTCTTGAAATAATAAAGCATAATGTGCTGAAAATGTTGCATATTTTCTTCGATCTTCAGTATTAAAATGGCTATACAGTAATTTACCAATTTTGATATGTTTTTTTTAACGCATCCTGGTATGCCAACCATCACTATACAGTCTGACAAAATTATTTCAAATGAAGTTAAAGAAAGTCAAGCACTACTAAAGCTATCTTATGGAAAAAACCAAATGAACTTTTTGGCCAACCCACTATTTTATGCTAAAGAGTTTAGCTGTTAAAACGTACTAGTGGAAATTCATGGAAGTTTTTTTGAGGAACGTAGTCGCTTTATATTTGTCTTATTTATTTATCTTTTAAGTAGATTTTAAATACTACTAAAGTAGTATAAATTTAGTGTAAGAAAAAGAAATTAAAATATAGAAACATATATCTTAAACTGAAATAGTACCCATTCCATACATTCTAGATAAAACCCCTACCTAAAATCTAGCCTTCCATACATACACACACACTAACACGCACACGTACACGCACACGCACACGCACATGGGTGGGAAAAAGTAGGTTTACAGTAGAAAATACAAATATATATAATACAATAATTAATAAATAATGCAGGACTAAACTCTGTTTCGTGTACTCACCTATAACCCTACTTTTGACCACACCTGTATATATGTATATATGTATGTTAGTGTGTATATATGTACAGATATAAAGATATAGATATGGTTTTACATTTTAATACAAATGGAATCACTATACACACATGCACACACAGTTCTGCAACTTGCCAATTTCTCTTAACAGTATAGCTTTCACTGACAGTATTTACTTCATTGCATACTATTCCATTATATGGAACTGCCATTATTAAGCATTTCGGGTATTTCCAGTTTTTGCTTTTAAGAGCAATTCTGTGTGTAACTTTGCTGTACATAAGTCTTTATATACTTATATGAGTCTATCTGTAGGATAAATATTTAGAAATGTAATTGCAAGCTTTACACATACTAA